CTTTAGCAGATCGTCCCCCAGACACTCTCGTTGAAAAACATTAAAGTGCTATAGACGTCTTTGGCAGCCAATGAGTTAAGCATCGAAGTGGCATTGGGTTGTTGGTCTTATCACACTCGTGCTCTGATTTTAGTTTCTACTCCAGATGCTCACAGCTGAAAACCCAATAAAAGCATAAACAGACGAGTTACAGAGGTTTTCTTTCCTTTTCTAAAGCTCTCCGGACGAACTTGCGGCGGCGGCGGCCCGGGTCCGGGTTCTTCCAGGCAGAAGTGTGTATCTAACTGTGTTTCTAATTGTACAGTTGAAGAAAAAGACTTGATTTAATAAATCGTTGATCCCTTTATAACACTCGATGTTGTGCGTTTGATATGGTTTTCGTATCACGTGCCGAATCCTGGAGTTGAGTTGCTCTGTTTCAGTGTCGTGTCGTATCCATGGAGACCGAGAGAACCTATGCAAAGTTGGGGGTGGGGGGGGGGGGGGTTCCTGAAAGATGTCCTGAGGGCCGTGAGTGTCTGTCTCATTAAGAAGTGTACGTTTAAAAAAAAAAATAACTCCAAAAACGTGAAGCTGTGCTTAGAAATGTGAATTGTTTGGAGTCTGGCTCAGACGGAGGCCAAAGCCAAGCAATAAAGCTCTGTTCAAAACACCCGTTTGGTCAGAGTTTTCTTTATTAAGCACGAGAGAGGACGGCAGGAACCAAACCGGGAACCGAACGGAACGAGAACGAGTCGCAGAATCACTGAAAACTTCAGGGAAATCTTTCAGATTTCTGCTTTCTCAGAAAACCTGCCGAGTAAAAGACTTTCTACAACCGCTCATTAAGTAACATCCAATCAAACACAACCAAAAAAAGGAGGAGAAGAGACTTGGTTTCATTCAGTTTGTGTAAAAGCCGGTAAAAAAACAAACAGTGCTGTTGGTATCACAACCTGTATTTACAGACGTTCCCGTGGGCTAAAAACTATACAGCCTACAGACCCATTCAAGTCACGTTTCTAAGAAAAACTGATGGTTTGTGACACTTTAATGGAGCTAAAGGCAGAAATAAACTGATATTAACACCCTTTTTAAAAAAATGTGTTTTCGTATTTGGAGTTAAATCAATTAAAAACAAAGACTTTTATTTTTAAATGTTACTTTAGCAAACAGAAAAAACAAAGAAATGTATCCGTTTAAGGAAGTCTGATTGCGATTCGGTGCTTGAATTAAATATGCAAATAAGGTGCACCGTAATTGGCTGCTCAGGCCACTTAAGCCGACCAATCAGCTTAAGATTTAGCTTTTTACAGGAATAAGAAAGATATGTTGACATTCAAAGGCTTTTTCTCTAATAACATCAGTCAAAATGGGTCGTTCCTTTTTCAGGAGGAAGAAAAAGAGCACAAATATTTTTGGGGAGCACCTCAGAAAAAAACCAGAGCTTTGAGAGCAACAATTTGAAATAAAAAATAAATAAAATAAATATTCTTTCAGCAACTAAACCTAAAAGTTGAGCCTTTGTGGCCTAACTGAGCCTGTTCTGCCCTATTCTATTACATAATAAAATAATGAGGACTGAGTTAAAGCGGAATAAACAGCAGTGGCTATTGGCTGACAGTTATTTGGAATGGATCTGATTGGTCAGCTCCAGTAGCCTGGCCACGCCCACCAGCCATGATTGGACTGGTTTAAATTCTAAAGTACATTTCAGTGGACGGAGAAATAGCAAAAACAGATGATTTTGATATTTTGGGAAAATAATAAAGACTAATAAAGCTTTACTAACGAGAGGAAAATCAAGTTTGTCATCATGCAAACATGAACACAAATTTGACTTTTTGGGGACCAATTGGACACTTTTGAAAGCTTTTCTTTCTTTTTTCTAATGTCTGAGTGGGTTATTCTGCTCATTAATTAAGTTTTTTAAGGAAGTTTGATATGATGCCATAGCTACATTTTCATCTCAATCAAGACTTTGTTGTTTCTGAGTCCACTGGAAAGATTTCAGGGAACATTAAGTTGTACAAAACAGTGTCAGCTCCCTGAAACTAACAAAACAAAACGTGTCTTTACCTCAAAATAAAAAGGAATGGTCATATAAACAATGTGGAATGCGGTTAACACTTTTGTCTGTCGGGTTAAACATGTTTTCATAAGAAATCGAAGTCTATACGATCTTAAATCCCCTTTAAAGCTGCTTTATAAATAACACAATGCCTTTATTACCAGAACGACTGAATAAAGGGGATAAATTAAAGTGATATCGAAGGAGTCAAAGGTCAGACCAGTAACTGGGTCAGTTTCCGTAACAGTCAACATTCACTTCTCTGGAACAAAAAACACCGGGACACCGATGAGAAGCTATCAGTAAAAACCTAAAACATCTACGTGGAAAACGGGAAGCTTTCCGGGGACCTGTGAGTGGATCCGTTCCCCCCCACCACCGGGTTGGAGTCAAAAGTTTAGTTTAGTCTTTTGTGGGACGGATTTCAGACCAGTTTCTTGGCCTCGAAGAAGCTCTTGAGGTGCTTCATCTGCCAGATGCCGGTGAGGATGAGGATGAGCGTCTGGGCGATGGACCACCACAGCACGCGCTGGTTGGTGCTCTCGCTGGTCATCCGGAAACGCTCCTCCCGATACTGAGGAGGAGAGGAACCGGGTCACAGCAGGATCCAGACCACCACAGAGAACCACCGGACACCATCATCGTCATAGCGATGAGAAATGGAATATTGTGTCTACTCTGTAAGTCGCTTTGGATAAAAGCGTCTGCCAAATGCAGAAACATAAACATAAACATAAACATCAACCCCCCAATCATCCATCCATCAATCAGGCCCCCTCAGAGAGTCAGACACCCCCCCTCTGCAAATCCTAAATTATTGACATAGTCACTATCACTTATTTAACCCTTTAAAGCCTGATCCAAGAATAAAACAAAACAGAAAATTACTTTTTTTTTTTGTTTAAATTCCTTATTTGGCATTTTAACAAAATATGTAAAAAGAAAAAACAGAAATACATTTTTGATATTAATAATTTATTACTATGCGATAAGTCCCGATTATATTTTTGTGTAGTCTTCTGCCCCCTGTTATCAGGTGTATCTGATTGTGTACAATAGGATTTTGAGCAAAGTTTTTACCATTAAATTATGCAAAAGGTGTCAGACGCAAAACGTTTCAGAAACCGTTTGTATCAAATATGATACATTTGGCATTACAGGGTTAAGACATATATATATATACATATAGTTACTTATGTATATATTTCTTTATATTCTGTGTTGAATTTTGTATAGACATGTATATATGTATATGCGTTTTTTTTATTTCTGGACTTAGTAACATAAATTATTTCCCTCTGGGATTATTAAAGTGTTTCTGATTCTGATTCTGTAACCAGCCCCCGAACACAGAGCTAAACACGTGTGTGGTTCCAGCCCAGAGCGAGCAGCAGAATAACTGTGTGCTCCTGTAAAGGTCAAAGGTCTTTAGAAACTATTTATAGAAACTATCTGTATATATATATATATATATATATTAGGCTTATCCTGTTCCCATATCTGGATTGGATCGGCCGGCAGGAGAAAATGCAGATCCAGACTCCAGATCCGTTTTTTTTTTAAGTCTGAGCCCACATTAGCATTAGCATTAGCATTAGCATCTGTAACCCACAGGTCTGTGTCCTAACCATTAAGTTGTTATCAGTAAATCCCTGTTCAACATGAGTCTGACAACTAAGTAAGTAGATAAATAACTTTAGACTTTAACACATGCTCTGATAGGCCGGGATCGGGATCGGAAGTGTAAAAAGCTGGATCGCGACATCCCTAAATATATATATATATATAATTGTTACTGTTATCAGTGTATTTTCAGATATTCGGTTTAATAAAAAATACTCAAGAAGCACATTATTTTTATTGTTCTAAAATTCTATTTATTTCTTCTCATTCCTGAACTGAAAAGAGAGTTTTAGTGGCTGAATGTTCTGCTTAACGCATTTCTGACGAAGATAAACTGTCAGAAAGTAGAGAAAAATAACCAGAGGAAGAGTTGAAGCTGTTCTCAAGAGCAAAGAGGAGAAGTTTAAGATGATTCTGAGAGAAAAAGCAGCGTTTGGCTGCTTCAGTTTTCTATTAAACTAATAGATATGTATTCTACCAACAAATAACCAACAGGTTTTTGAAAGATTTCTAATATAAAAGGATGTTTTTGTGTTTTTCTGACAGGTGGTATGTCACATTGGTTAAAGCTGTGTGCTTGACCCTTCATGTCATGTGACTTAAATTTACACAATAACTGAGTGAAGAGTTGTTGCCTTTTAGCTTCTCTATGCCGTCCAATCCCCCCTCCATCCCACCCCTATTTTTTTTATTTATTTATTTAATTTATTTTATTTTTTTTATTTTTTTATTATTTTCAAATTAATTAATGTATTCTTTGGTTGTTAATGTATCCTTTTCTTTCTTTTTTTCTTTCTTTCTTTCTTTAATGTAATTATACTTATTTGGTCCTGTTTTTGTTATGTTAGAAGAGGGAAGGGGTAAAAAAACAAAAAAACAAAAAAAAAAAACTGTGTAAAAAAGAAAACATAAAAATTGGAGAAGTCATGTAAGCTTTGTACAATGTATGCTACGTCAATATATGTATGATCTCCTGATGTGTAAATAAATGATACACAGTAAAATAAAAATATATATAAAAAAAGCTGTGTGCTTTTGATTGTGTTCCAGAAAATCACATCATATGAATTTATAAAAATGGATAACCATCTAATGATGAAAAATAAGCATTCTTTGTAAGTGGGCAAACCTGCAAAATCAGCAAGGGGTCAAATACTTATTTCCCCCACTGTATATACATATATATACATATATTCATTTATGTATATATATATATATATACACATACTTATGTGTGTGTGTATATATATATATATATATATTTGTATTTTACCAACAAATAAACAGGTTTTTGAAAGATTTCTACAAGAAAAGGATGTTTTGGTGTTTTTCTAACAGGTGGCACATTTGTTAAGGCCGTGTTTCCTATTGTGTCCCCACTGACCCTCTGGTAGTTCTGCTCCTTCTGGATCTGCTCCACCTGGTCCAGCAGCTGCCGCAGCCGCAGCTGCAGCTCCGTCAGTTTGTCCTTGGCTGCTATCTCAGGATAGTTGTTGGCGTGCTCCCCCACCTGGATGTCCAGATGCACTCTCTGCAACATCGGAGAATATAGTCTTGAATTAGCAGACTCCAGATCCCAGATATTGCAAATATTCCAAATACTGCAATTTCCCAGCTTGGGATAAAAAAAGTATATCTATCTATTTGCAAAGCATTGAAAGGAAGCGAGTTTTCAACTGAAAAAAGGCACAAACTAAACCCTGGAAAATCTGGGTGAAAGCCGTTCTCTTCAGGTTTCAGCACATCAAACAAAAAGAACCACAGCAGATCCCTAAAATAGATCCACTGAGGAGAAAAACTCTTGAGAGAAAACGAGGAATAACCAGACGTTAGTTTCTATTTAAAGGATTGTTTCAGCTTTTGATCAGGATGCCAAACAGACCTTTTAACTCACTGACTGGCAGCTATTTTCAGAACAGACTCCCATACTGCCAGAGTTTTTTGAGCATTTTGACTGATTTTTCAAGAGCCATAGAATAGTTTGTGCTATGACTATGTAAACACCGAACACACCAAAAAAAAGAGTAGACTCTCTTCTTTCATCAGGAAAAAAAATGTGTTTCTACCTTATTCCGTTCTTCCTGGACTTGCGTCTCACCGGCGACATGTTCTCTCATAGAACCGTTCCCTTTTTCTTATTTGCCTACAGTCTATGCTCATCTCCCATCAAAAGTGGCACTGCCCCCTAGAGGGTCAATTTGTTACTACATACTCTGTCTAGAAGCCGATATTTACGGACAAGCTTTAGCAGATCGTCCCCCAGCCACTCGCGTTGAAAAACATAAAAGACGTCTATAGACGGCCAATGAGTCAGTAAAATCTTATTTTAAAAAAATAACTCTGTTCCTCTTCTTGAAGCTCATCTTGTGTATCTTTTGGGAAGCCTCCAGCTCTGTGTGGTTTTTCCTACCAGCTTCCCTCCGGCAAACAGCGCCATCTTGGTGGAGTTGGAGTGCAGGCAGATCTGGTGCTCCCCCGGTGTGTGGGAGGTGAAGGTGAACCGTCCATCCGAACCGTACTGGCGAGAGAGGATGATCTGGAACGGGAGACAGAGTCCCGTTTATCAGAGGGTGGGTCAGGGGGGGGGGGTGCAGGTGTGTTTCGGGCCCCGGGCGGCCGCCGTTACCTTTGTGTCCGGATCCTTGATCTCCACGTGCATCCCCAGCCCCGGGGTGGCCGGCAGGAAGGAGCTGGTCTGTTTGTCCCACAGCTGAGTCCTGTATTTTCCTGCCAAACGGGCGAAACGTGAACACAACCATCAGCTTACCCAGAATTCCTTTCACTTCTGACAGTCCTCGGAGGAGAAAGCAGCCTCTATACGACCATGTGTTTATCTATGTGATGTATTGCCTATTGCAAATACTACAACTACACTATTCACTCCTCACACAATGCAATCATTCATTGAATTGAAATTCTGTCAAAATTCTGTCAAAAAGATTTCAGGAAACAGTTTTCACTTGTGAAAAAAAGGACATACTGTATAATGCACCTTTTCTGGTTTCTGTAAACCTGATTTTTTTAGCCTGTTAATAAAGCTTACACAAGCTATTGCAGTATACGTATTTTAGAGTAGTTTTGATTGACATATTTGTATTTAAAAATGGTCCAAAATATCGTATTCATTGTTCAGTAGGATTAAATTTAGCCAAACAGGTGCATATAATTCGAAGCTAACCAGCTTCTTTAAACGAAACTGAAATTAATTGTATAATTGTTTGCATAAACTATAAAAATAACTGCAAATTCTGCTAATCCAGCCAACAACCTTTACGGTATCAGGGATCTTCATCAGTTTTGCGGCTTTGATGCTAAACAGCTGTTAGCCTGCGTTGCTAGTTAGCCGCTTCTTGCTAGCCGGTCAGCAGCTTACCGATGACCATCGTCTCGTCCGGGATTTCCTCAATGAAGCATTTCTTCTCCGTCTCTCCGATGTGGAAGTACAGCCCGTGGCTTGGATAAATCCAGGCCGCTAGGAGAAAGAGTCCGGCGGCGGAACAGCGCATCATTTCTCCTCCTTCTCTCTTTTTACCCAGCGCACATCAGCACAAGAAACGGTGGCGACGCGGTGATGACGACGCAACGACGTGATGACGACGCAGCGACGTGATGACGTCACGTGAGGGTGGGAGGGGGATTTCCTCATTGGCTGATTACTACGTCTCCCTGAGTTTAGCCTTACAGGCAGAACACGGTCCACAGGTTCGCCATTTTAAGCTCCTGTCACACACCTCTGCCTGATTTACATCCGGGAGATAATCTATAATAGAATATGCAAATGTGACGATATTTTTCTACACACAAAAGAGAATGGGTGACAAAGTCCTATTCAATTACTGTTCAAATAATCCCGTTGAACAGACATTTTTATTTTTAAGGAGGCATGTGGTCTTCATGAAAAGGTATGTTTGAATGCTATAATGACTCTTAATGAGTCCTCTGTTCTTCTTCTTCTTTTAAAAACAAACAAATAATCTTTTAGACTGTCTGAAGCATTTCTACAACAGGCCCAATGATGACCCTGTTGCAAAAATTAATAATCCGGCAAGATTTGGGTCAGGTGTAACCCATAAAAACACTGAAATCACCAACAATCCAAATCAAACTGGATTTAGGATTTTGATTTCTTCTTAATTTTTGCTGCAAATGATGTCTGATTGTTTCAATTCTGTTAAAACAATTAAACTAAACCCTGTTGTATTACTATCTTATAATTTTAATCAAATAAACATTGAATTGGTCATTCTTTACTACTTTAAATACATTTTCAATGCTCCAGTTATGAAACAGACAAATATTCCCAGTACTCCCAGGTTTATAATCTTGTTGTTACTCCCTCTAATAATAATAAACAACACAAAACTGGTTTCATAGCGAGTTTGAGCCCTGCAGTTGTGCCTTACAGTCTATACGGAGGGCAAAGGAGAAGTCTGAATTTCCTGAGCTAACAACACTCGAACGGCTCTGACATATAAGACCAGCTACTCTAAAACACGTTTATCTCAGTCCTTAACACTTAGACGTAATTGTCTTTTCGGAGTTGCATAGTTCGTTAATGTAGATCGCTGTTTATGTCATCAACAAGCGGCTCAATGTGCCGAACCAACGGTTTGCTACGTTAGCCTAGCTAGCTAGTTAGCTCCATTTCAACTGCCATTAGCTAGCTTTTTGACGCCGCTAAAACTGTCTGAAGTAGCCGTTTGTGAGAAGTAGCCTCGCTGTTTACTACACCGGACTGCAAAACCAAAACAGAAGAAAAGGTAACCTTTTGTTTTTCAAAAACAGAAACTAACTTATATGTGCTAAATTGCCCAGAAATGTCGTTTAAAGACGTGATTAAACCGTCTGAAAGAGGAGAAGTGCGTATTTTTAAATAAAAAAAATGGAGTGATTTGTGCTGTCGAAACATATCGGCGACTAAAACTGTCACTGGGTGGTTTTTTATTTAATATTTAATCTCATGTCTCGTGCTGGCTCGTTTTAGCCCACTGTGATGTGGGTGACGTAATGTTTTCCTCCCGTTCACCTGCATTCAGGTTAGCGGTGCCATCCACCCAAAGCGTGCGCTCACATGGATCAGATTTAGCCAGAAGTTCAACTGAAAGTGAAAGTTTGCCTTTTTCCTGCCGCCAAACGGGTGGTTTCGACTGTTTTTTTACGCCACCAGAACTTTATTCATTTATTTATTTATTTATTTGATCAGGACAGTGCACATTAATGACCAATCTCATACAGATTGTAAATGAGCCAGATTCTTGCATAGTTGCTAGTTTACATCTGTGGTCCTGAGGCAGGAAGACCAAACACCACAAGATCACAAAATACAAAATCAGTCCAAACACACGTTCAGACAGCGACTATACAAAATTAAAATGAGTGATTGCATGTCTGGGAACTTTTGAGAAACAGTTGAAGGTGCTTTTTAAATGCGTAAAAAGTGGGACCTTCCCTGATGTTTGTTGGGAGGCTGTTCCAGAAGTGACCCCCTCTGACCGATAGAACGGTTTGTCCAAAGGTTGTTCTTCTGTGGGGGATCTCTAGGTCTCCTCTGGTGCAAATACGTCTGCCAGGCCTAATGTAGGTAGAAAGTGGAGGTGGGGCTAATCCGTTCAGAACTCTCTAATTTGTGTGTTTTGTGTCTTGTGTCCAGGGATGGTGCAGCCCCAGCCGGACGGCCCCATGCAGTGGGACATGTCAGGGGAGGAGAGTGGGGGGGCCCTCAGGGTCCCCCCAGAGCTGGCTGGAAACGAGGTGGTGACCAGGCTGCTGTGTGACAACCAGCAGCTCCGAGGTATCTATAGCTGCTCCCAACTTTTTATAACTGGTTGATGAAAGTGCAGATATCCAACTGATGGCTCCAAACGTTTTATTAAAGGACCACCGTGAAAAATACTGCAAATTACGCAGTGGAAAGAATTCATCAATAAAACCGTCATGTTACCTTACATGAATTATCAAATTAAACTTATTAAACAAAATATAAATTCTCTAAATTGTCCATACCGTATGCCCCTCCAACCAGAAGGTTAGGAGTTGCTAGAAGTCAATTTCTTCCATTTTTTAGTCCTTTGCCTTTACTCTTGCACACGCAGACTAATTATAAACAAACTCAGAACTTCCTATCAAAAGGCATCACGTGATCAAGTGAAGACCCAATCGGTGACGTCTCCATATGACATTGTTACAATATTTTCCCAAAGTATCTACATTAATAAAAAAATACACAATGATATGAAATAGATATTATAAGTAAAACATATTCATATTCACAAAATAAAATAAATTCACACTGAAAAAATGCTTATGTAACTGCGTTAGCTACAGTATCCCCCCCCCCCCAGGAAATAACAGGCCCCCACTACAGCCACAGTCCACCGTGGACCTCAGAAATTGTCAAGATTTCCTCATTTTTGGGGAATTTGGTGAATTTTTGCCACGCTGCCATGTCAAAGTCCCATTTTCACTTCCCCAAATGGACACAGTATAGTCTAGATGTAGGTCTTTGTTGTTTCAGTTTTAAATCTAAACGAGCTCAGTGTGTTTCTCTGCTCGTTTTAAAGCTGGTACTTTTTCTTAGATAGTGAAAGTAAAGAGGAATTTACTCTAAAATTTGGAGAGCTTTAATCCCAAGTGTTGTCTAAGACAGAAATGGTGTGAAAACATTAACAGCCAATTAGACTTAGACTTAGACTTGTACTTTTATTGGGAAGACTCCCTCAGGAAATTAAAGTTACCAGCAGATCACAGGGCGAAAAAGAGCAAAAAGCAAAAAAATACAAAAACTATAGATTAGGTACAGGTACACACTAAATGTGCATAGCCAAAAGATAAGAATATAAATACAAAGTAAAAAATAAAAACGCCTAAATAAAGCAAAAATAAGCAAAGAATAAGAATATAAATACAACGTTCAAATAAAGACCCCTAAGAAAATCTAGGAGTTTGGCGGATAGATTGACCACTGATGTGGTTTTGGACTATGTGGAATATAAATATAAATATGGAGTTCACATTTTACAGAAAAATACAAACGTTGCTACTCCTTCCCTTCTCCCTCTGTCCTGTGTCACCTCTTCCCCCCCCAGTGAAGAGTTGTACAGTAAGATGGCGTGGGGGACCAAAGAGTTCTTGAGTCTATTGGACCAATAGAATTAAGAGGTTGTTTCTTGGAGGGTTTGGTTTGAGTAGATGATAACTTAAACTTAAAGACTTTTTATTGAGAGGTCAGACATGTGGACATTAATAATATAACTGTCCTGATCTTGTATCTGTGACGTTTTAGTGTGTGATTTGTTCTGTTGTGTACAGTCACTGTGTTTTGTGTAAAAAGCCTAACTGGGGACAGGCGTTGAGAATTAGCCTTATAGCTAAAATGTTATAGTGTGTGACATGTTTCATGAAACATACTTGTCCCTATCAAATAAACCAGTGTTTTTCAACCACTGTGCCTCGGCACGCTAGTGTGCCGTTAGTGATGGTCAGGTGTGCCGTAGAAAATCATCCTATTTCACCTCATTGGTCTAAAAAGATTTTTCTTTTAAAGGAATTAATTATCTGCAATTAATATTCCATTTCTGAGTGTCTGTGCTGTTCTAGTGACTGGTGGAGTAATCATGTAATAATTCCTTATTACTAGATTTTGTATATAATTTTGTATATTGAAGTGGACATGTTATGTGAAATTTGAAAGAAGAAATATAAAATATGATAAAAAAATACATTTTTGTGTTTATTTGATTCCTATTCAAGACACTTAGGATAAGATAAGAATAACTATAGTGTTACTATAGGCGGCTACAGATTTGTTTAACATTTTTGGTTGGTGGTGTTCCTCGGGATTTTTTACCTTGGCCTAAAAAAGGTTGAAAAACACTGAAATAAACGCGTAAATAAATAAATAAATCTGTGTTTTCCAGAGGCTCTGCGGCGGAGCAACCAGGCCTTAAGGCAGCGCTGCGAGGAGATGGAGGGATGGCAGCGGAGGACGAGGGAGGAGCGGGAGTTCCTCAGCTGCCGCTTCCAGGAGGCCCGGGCCCTGGTGGAGAGGCTGGCCCAGGAGAACCACTCCCTGCAGGGCCTGGTGAACGGGCCCGGCTCCCCCGGGGGCCACTGCTGCACCTCCAGCCAGACGGAGGACGCCCAGGGGCGCCCGGCCAGGAACGGGCCGCTGGACGGCCCACAGGTCAGTTAAATTACATTAAATTCAGTTTTATTT